CTGGTCGTCTTCTCTTGCATTTGTTGTTGCGTGTGCAATAGACGTGCTAGGTCATCTGCGTAGTACAGATCGTCCAGCTGCGTCCCGGATTTCCATTAGATACCGTGCTGCCCCCCAGATATCGACGTCTTTATAATCCAGTTGATCGTCAGAAGAAAGAGAAAGGGTGAGAGTAAGCAACCTTGCCTCACACCGGTCTTTACCTCGAAAGAGTCTGTTAGCTGTCCTCCGTGCACGATTTTGCAGTTGAATCCATCATAAGAGTTCCGTATGATGTTAACTATTTTCTCAGGCACCCCGTAGTGTCGAAGAAGAGTCCACAGTGTTTTCCTGTCCACGCTATCGAATGCTTTCTCGTAGTCGATGAAGTTGATGTAGAGTGGTGAGTTCCATTCAATTGATTGTTCCACAATGATCCGTAATGTAGCAATTTGGTCAGTACACGATCGATCCTTACGAAATCCGGCCTGTTGATCTCGAATTTGGGCGTCTACGAAGTCCTTCATTCTGTTTAACAATACCCTGTTGAAGACTTTGCCTGGTATTGAAAGAAGAGTGATGCCTCTGTAGTTCTCACACTTGCTGAGATCGCCTTTCTTTGGTATTTTGATGTTGTTCCTCATCCCAAATCTTCTTGAAGAGGATGTGAAATATTTTCGCGGTTGCTTCTACATCTGCTTTCATTGCCTCTGCTGGAATGTTGTCTGGTCCTGCTGCTTTGCCGTTCTTGATTTGTCTGCCGGCCATGCTGATCTCCTCAATCGTAGGTGCGCCAATATTAGTTGGGAGGTCCGTGGATGCTGTTCCGATGTTGGGTGTCTTCAGAGGAGCTGGTCGATTCAATAGTTCCTTAAAGTGCTCCACCCACCTATTTCGCTGTTGTTCAGTGTTGCTGATTACTTTGCCTTCCTTGTTTTTCACTGGTCGTTCTGGTTTACGATAGTTCCCGGCGAGCTTCTTTGTAGTTCCATACAATTGTCTCAAGTTTCCGTCTCTTGCAGCCTTTTCCGCCGTCGTTGCTAGATCTTCCACATATTTTCGTTTGTCAGCTTTGATGCTCTTCTTCACTTCCCTGTTTGCTTCTGTGTATGCAGCTTGTGCGGTAACTTTCTCCGCTCTTGTTCGGCTGACATTGATTGCTGCTTTCTTGTTCCTCCTGTCTTCAATTTTTGCGAGAGTATCAACAGAGATCCATTCCTTATGATGCTGCTTCTTGCGACCAAGGACCTCCTGACATGTTGAAGTGATTGCCTCCTTAATCCCTTTCCAAGTGTTCTCCAACGTTGCGTCCTCTCCATTGTGTAGATCCTGAAAGGCCTGGAACTTAATGGTGAGGGCTATCCTGAATTCGTTGAGCTATACAGTATCCCGAAGAAAGGCCGTATTAAACTTGTGCGATGTTGTCTGTCCCGTTGTCCAGTGCTTCTTTAGTTTCAGTTTCATTTTGGCGATTAGCAAATGGTGATCTGAGGCTACATCAGCTCCTCTCCTGGTTCTCACATCCTCCATAGTCCTTCTGAACGTTTTGTTGATACAGATATGATCAATCTGGTTTTCAGTAGTGTGATCAGGTGAAATCCATGTAGCTTTGTGTATGCGTTTGTGCGGGTATATTGTGCCACCGATGACCAGTTTGTTGAAGGCACATAGGTTTGCAAATCTCTCACCGTTTTCGTTTCTTTCTCCCAGTCCATGTCGTCCCATGATGTCTTCATATCCGGTGTTGTCCATTCCAACCTTGGCATTCAGGTCTCCCATAAGAATCGTCAAATCCTTTGGTGAACATTTCTCGACGATTGACTGCAGCCTTTCGTAGAATTGATCTTTAACGTCGTCATTGTAGTCATTGGTAGGTGCATAACATTGGATGACGTTCATTGTAATGTCCTGTTTCTTTGTTTTGAAGGATGCTTCAATGATCCTGGGTCCATGAGATTCCCATCCTATTAGTGCCTTTTGTGCATGTTTGGACAGCATCAATGCAACTCCTTGTGTATGTGAAGCATTTTCCTCTTCATGACCAGAGTATAACAGCAGTTCCCCTGAAGCAAGTCTCAGTTGTCCTACTTGTGTCCAATGCGTTTCACTGATGCTGAGCACCTCGAGGTTGTATCTTTTCATTTCTGCCGCAATTTGAAATAGTCTTCCAGTCTCCCACAATGTACGAACGTTCCATGTACCTAAAAAAATGGTTGCTCTAGTTGTCAGAAGAGGCATCAGCCCCGTGACTTCCGAGGGAACTCGGCTTTCATCACGCGACGTCATGATTCTTCCTCCAACTCCCAGGGCAGAGTTAAAATGGTTTGAATTATTTTTTCTGGTTAGCGTTTTTTTGGCAAGTTAGTTTTTGACGGAATGGGGTCGCCAACCCCATGTCCAACCCTCCTCCTTTACCCGGGCTTGGCACCGGCAGTAGCCTCGAAGGTTCTACTGGCGGAGTTGAGTTCGAGTATACCATGAACTATAATGCTGGTCTGTTCTTGGGTACCTGGTGCAGTTCTCGCTGCCAAACGTACCGATCACGTCTTGTTGTGCCTGATGCGAATTGGCGAGGACAATTTGATCGATAATCTTTGGGATGGAAGGATAATGTCTTCAGCAAGTCGTGCCGAGTCAAGAGTCACCATCATTGGAGGGAGTTTTCCTTTCAAGATATTTTGTCCTTTGAAAGGAAGGCATATTTTGGCTGGAACATTGCACATGCCGATGGTTGTGCAGTGTTTATCCCACTGCTCTCTGTCGAAGGCAGCCCCAACTTCTAGCAAGCTTTCTTCCGATACTCGGACTTTAAGTAAATTAAGCAAGTTTGATCTGTCGTCCCTGTTCTTAGGGGGTAGCCGCTTGCGAGTTGGGGTGTAGCTATTTCCCTTCTTCACTATCACACACTGTTTTGTAATGATAATAATAATAATTTATTCTCAAATAACAAACATGTTACAAGAGACATGCCAATTTACAGGCAAGATCAAAACGTTAGGATTAGCAACATATTTCTTTTAAAACGGTATACAGTTGCTGAAACATTTCACCAGATTCATTGGATTCCTGTAGATAGAATGTACGATGCGAATGATTGGCGCAAGGTACGAAGGTTGCGTTACGACAATCATCTTATTGACTGAGAAACGATTCATGGTAGAGACAGGTTTTCATATAACAAGAATTGATGCGGTTAATGTGCACAGGTCCGGTTGATATTCATCAGCTAAGGTTTTCACATGTTCCTGTGTACGGTAACCAAGTCTACTGCAAATATCCAGACTAATATATGTGGATTGGAATAAGGTGCTGAAAAAAGAGGAATAAAGAAAACGGGACGAGGAGCGGAACAGAAAATATTCTTGTTTAAAGCGGAACATACATTTATGGATAAAACAAATTTATGTTTACTCAGACTTTTTTAATATCATAACAATAACTGTACACCTGCACTTTTGTAGGTTAATGAAGACAGTTCAGTAGTGAGATAACTAATGAGAAGTTAGTCGAAAGAATCGAGGAAATTCAGAAGAACCAAGTTGTTAGTAATAATGTTGATTTACAAAATACAATAATGAGGTACAGTAATAAAAAGCTTTTGTGGTATCTTATTTATTCTGTTTATTTTTGTTTCTGTAGCTCAAGAAGTCATAAGTGGACTCTTTTTTAGTATACTTGTCAAGACCAGCTTGTAATAGGATTTCTTCGCAGGAAGTCAAAACCAATGTAAGGTTACGGAGATGATTCGTAGACGAGGTTAACAAAGCAAAGTAACATCAGTATCACTGATTTGTTACATCCTGCTATATCGTAAGGAGCGGTAAGAAAACAAAATGTTCTGCCACACAGACATGGGTAGATTGAGGTTGTCAGCCCCCTACGTCATAAATGCTGGTCGGAAACCCCACCCTACCTCCTTTTGTGATGTTAGGATCTCTTACGTTTAATGGTTGATTGTAAATAATGGTGTCCAGTCTTATCGGAATTAACTTTCTCTACTAGCTCCATATCACAAGCAATCCAGACAATTTTGCCAGACAAAATATTCACGTAGCATATAACACTGATTTTAAGTAAACTAAAGATGTAATTTGTATATATATATATATATATATATATATATATATATAAATTATATAAGATATACTTTTAGTCAGTTAATAGGTAGTTTGGATATGGGAAGGACAGGGAGCAGGAAAGAGGAGAAAGAGAAAAAAAGAGTCAAAATAATGGCAGCTAGATCAATGAATGGAGACAACTTTTTCATGGCCCTGTGGGTGATAAAGTATCGAGAAAATGGATTGTCTACTGGAAATGGAAGAGAGTCAGCGAGGGCACGTCAAATTCGGAGCGCGCCGTTACATAGCAAATTGCCAAAGGAACCTACTCTGCACCTGCTTTATTTGCACTATCCTATTGAGAATGTGGCTTTAATATTCTGTTTCTGTTAGTGACATGGTGTAAATGTATAAGCATTTGTGTCAATCTGATCTAGCCCGTAAACTGGCATGCCTCTTGTAACGAACTTACTTGAAAATAAATATTATCATTATTATTATGATGTGCGTTGAGAGAAAAAGCAAATTAAATTTTACACCAAGATGAGTGATGATGCAATGACAACGAAGACGACCAAGTCGAGGTATTTCTTGCATGAGTAAAATATGAATTCAAGGTCAAGTGCAAAAGAAACATTTACACATACAAAGTTAGGTGCCTATAAATGTTATAAATTCCATAAACTATTTGTTCGACTAGTGTCATTATTTATAGAAGCTGTATTGCGACAAGTCCCATTATTTTTATGATGTTCTTCACCTACACTGCCATCCGAAACTCGACGGGGTATTAAGCCATTAGTAGAACTATCAGTGGTCACACCGTTCCGTTTGATTGGTATTGAGATATTGGATATTGGAGAGGCAGCCCGAATCTCTAAAACAGGGGACTGAGTGGAACTTTTCGGATTTAATCTTTCACTTGAAGTGAAAGAAGAATGAAGACCTGTAGTTAAATCTAAACTATGGCTTCCCACAAACTATCGGAGCAGATGAGACGCAAAGTGTATCTTGGACATTCAACTCTTTAATGACTGAAATGACTTCAATGTTAGTGTCAATATTGTTGCAAGTTGTAGCAGTTAAATGATTTGCACGTGGATGCGAATTCATACTGACAGGTTGGTACGAAGAGAATGAAGATCGTTTATGCATGTATATCTGACTGGGTTGAGAAGTGACACAATTTTGGATAGATGCTGCCGCAAGATTTCGAAAATTCTGCAGTGGGAGATCGTTAGAGTGAAAACTATTTGATAACACTGGAGATTGTTGACCACATGAGTCGAAGTTAGTACATGATTTGCCTATTCCACTTAACGCATTGGAATTTACAGCAAGATGATTGTTTGGAGGTGAATTAATCATCGGCGAAGAGTTTATGCATCCAGTTAAACTGGACATTGAAATAAACCCGTATAGGCTTAGTACATCCATGGCATTGACAATCTCATCTGTGGCTGCATCAGAATAGCCAGCACTTATTAAAACACTACGTATTCCCTCAAGACCCATACCAGAGTTAGGTGAATAGATGACAGGTCCTGGTGATCCATAAGTTGGCGAAATCCTAGCACTATAATGTGTTGCGACAGATCCTAAAAGACTATGAGGGGAATGAGTAATAGCTTGATGATTACTTGAGTGTGTACTAGTGACACCACGGCCCATTAATGCTCTACCAACATTTGGGACCAATGCAGACGTTGACTTGGCGTTTGGAGAACAGGCAGCAACTGCACTCATTGCAGCCATAGCAGCAGCAACAGCTGGGGAAGAACTTCCACCGAAAATTGATCCAGAAGCTGGATTCGAGGTAGTTGGACTTACAGGTGAAAGAGAATTAATATGAGGAGGTGAAAAGCTAGGATTCGAGCCTGGGGCTGCTCTGAAATGCATATCCGAACCAAAATCCATTCCACATGCAGGTAATCCTGGATGCGATCCAACCGCTAAAGCATAAGGTGAGCCGGTGGGGTACGCACTTGCGACTGGCCCGATTATTTCGGAGTAAGATATATTTGGACAACTGGATGACTGAGGATCCTCAGCAATCTTGTTCAAAATCAGAGCAATAGCGTCACGTGTCTGTGAGAGTTCACCTGCAACAGTAACGCATCTTTCAGCCAAGTTAAGCTCCTTAGACTTTTGGGATACTTGAATAACTACTCCAGTAATATCCTTCAACTCCTTGATATAGCTGCCACCTTTTCCGATTATCATTCCAGCTGTGCTGTTGGAGACCAAAATCTTGACCAGGATAAAAGGCATTCGCCTTCGACATTTTAACTTTGGCTGAAGTTTGGTTTTGGATTTCTTTTATTGCTTAACCTCCTTTCCCGATAATTGCACCAGCAGCAATTGAAGGTACCAGAATTTTGAAATGAACATTACCTATGGAAGTACTAGATATCCTTATCACTTGTTGAAGATGGGAGACCATGATCCGAAAAAGCCCAACGAATTCAGTACAACATACTACGGAAAGAATATAGGGACGATAGGATCTCGCCACATATCAACTAAGCCACACCTTTAGTTGATTTTAGAGTTATGACCTCGGATATCTTATGTGGAAGATCCCCTTTGAGTTATGAAGAGTCTTCATTAACTTCGTCCACAAATGCTTGACCTGCCCCGTCCTCTTTGGTCATTTTAGTGTCATTTTTCTTGAAAACCGCACCTCGGTATTCGGTGTAGGTTATCAAAACTGTCATAAATCTCTTCAGTGTTTAACAAAAGCGTTATCAGTTTCTTTCATTTGGCGAGGTCCTGTCCGAGTTGTTAACGAATTGAGCATCAATAACACTTGGTTGTATTCTTCTATTTAAATTGCCGGAAAGCAATGCGGCTAATGACATAATGCAGTCAGACAAGCCAGACAAGTTATTCAACAAAATATATCCCGATGATCCAGAGTATCAGAAAAATTTGATGCTACCTGCTGCTATAGAAGAAGATTTAACCTAATGATACAGCGCCAGCACGTTTCCGGAATATTAAAGTCAGAAGCATTTTGGCGAGAACTGGAGGAATTTGTTCGTTCTCAGTGTCAATCTGGTGACTATCTTGGCATGAGCACCAGTCTTCTGTTCTTACAACACATATCCGATCTGTACACTTCTGCTCCTTCTGGACCTCCTGTTAGAGGGGTTGGATTTTCAAGAGGGCATCGAAACGGTGTTATTTCGACAAATTACTTGCGCGGTGGCGACTGTGTATTCCCATCGTGAGCGTTCTCTTCGTTGCAAACTGGCCTCAGTTTATCGCTTGATAGATCTCTTTGCGTAGAATTCGAGTATATACAATCACGGGACTATGTGTGTTAGTCGCAATCATGAACATTATGTGGTGAATCCTTTCGGATGGGTGATAGGGTTGAAAAAGAAACCGTACGACGATAGACTCCAGCTTTTAGGATTATTTCCAATGGGCTACAGGAGAATCAGAGGTGACCTGATTATGACGTACACCATATTAAACACTTCAAAACTTCTCAACGTGAGCATCTTACCGATGCATCACCACCACCCCCCTCGAGGCATTATGTAGTGAATCCTTTCGGATTACTCTATCTTGAGATTATTGCTTATTCTCTCATCAAGGTCGATTCAAAGGCCAGATACTGTGTTAGGCGTTAATCAAATGACCTAGGCTTTACACTCAGTAGTCCATTTAGCTCGTGCTGACATACGATGTATTATACATTCGAATACCCCCACTAGTGTTGCAATATCGTGTTTGAAATCCGGATTATTGCCTCTTTGTAATGAAGCAATGATTTTGGGCTGAGTGGCCCATTACACTCCCAGCGATGGATTAAGCTGCAGAATCAACACTGATGCTAATGGAGATTTTAGTAATAATAAAGATTGAGCAGCTGAATGCGCAACAGTCATTGAAACTTCAGATCCATCTGCTCATATATTGTACCACATGATATGATTTGCGAAAATTATCCACTGTATTCTACTTCATATAATATGATTGAGTTACATGTTTCTTCAGAAAATGAGAACGAATTATTCCAAAGAGATCATATTATAAACGATGTTGTAAAAATAAAAAAAATCGTTAGCAAATAATGATGGAAATTAAGGATTTCATTTTCTTTTACATACTTAATTTATAGAAGACACATAGTTTTGCGAATATTTCTCTTTCCTGGCAGCTCACCTCATCTCATGATATCATCAAATCTTCTCCATTTGAAACATGTTGAAAAGGTAAGATCCTCAGAACCAGCTTGATAAATATTTTTATTTCGAATTTATTTCATGGACCGATCAGTTGACTTTGAGATTACATTTCCCACCACAAAAACCCTCGGTTGACGTCAGTCACAGTATCATTTAAGTTTGCTCTTCTTGTGACTGACCCGAGGCGGTCTCTATAGAGTATCATTGAATGCACTGTGAGTGCTGGTATAGTTTGTACTCTATATCAAGTGTATTTGATGGTACGGTTTAATTAAGAGATCACAGTAACCTACTTAGCCGCTGGCTCACTGTTCTGTTCTCGTTATTCGACTGAGCTGAACGCTTAATAGTTTAGGCATACCTAAAATCGGGCGTTTCCTTGGGGACAGCGTTTCGACGAACAATCTGGTGAATTATAATGGATGCAGCTAAATTGGATAAATTGTTTGCGCAACAGCTGAAATTGATTGAAATACCTAATCAGACGCACAGCTCTTATCAAGTCCAACTGACACCGACAATTGCTCATTCAGTTAATGGTATGACCATTGATATTTCAGAGTTTATTCTCATCCTGACGCCAATATCACATATGATGCTTGGTTCAGGCGTTATAAGGATTGATTCAAAGTTTATTTTGCTAGCAGAGATGATTCCTCGATGGTTTGTCTTCTCTTTGGAAAAAGTGGTCCGTGAGAACTAGACCAGTATCAAAACTACATCCTAGGCGTTCGAACATTCGAAGCTACGGTTTTAGTCCCTCAGCAAACTTTTGGCGATCAGCACTGTGTATTCATCACGCATTACCGCTACCTAAAACTGGTCATGAATGAATCCGAAAATTTCATAATAAATGCTGGCATTGTGAGCCGTGATTGCGAACGGTTCAATCTCAAATCTCTCCATATGCGGTCTTAATTCACCGTAGTTTCCCGACATCAGAGCTTGGTTGCTTAGCCGCCTCTAACAAGACCCAACACTAACACTCGATGCAATCACTGATGAGTACGAACGCGTGCAGCATGACAACAATTTGGTGCAATCTTGGGGCCAGGGTGGTTCCGAATTTCAAGTTGTTTACAAACATTTACTCAACAAAAATAAAGGGGCCATGGTACACCTAGTTCATCCCACCCTATCTCAGCCCGAAAGATGAAAATGAGTCCTCCTGCGACTTGCTGCCACTGTAGTGCGTGGAACTATGTACGAAACTACCTAATCAACAGCTATGCACGAAAAGCGAAGTCATCGGTCAGTAAGATGGTTTTCGCTGAAAGAGAAAGCCGAAACGATCCAGAAGTGCTAGGTTGTCTGGTCTTAGATCCCTTGCCAATTAATTGAGCCTACTATCTTCCAGTCAAAGCTCATCAACATGTGAGAGGTATTTCATCACGCCTAATGTTTACGTGCATATGTGTTGACTGCAAATAGATACGGCATCAGTTGTCACCAAACTCTCATGTAAAATGTCGACTAGATTGGGTAGCACAAGCCCGCAGTACATAAAACAGAAGCCTCGTACAGCATGTGGTAATTATTTCGTCTATCAGAACAGTTGAAATATAAAGTTGCCTTCTGAGACTGGTCATTTATTGAGGTATGTTACATAACGCCAGCTGATTCAAAATAACTTGGTTTAGATAAGTTCGCTCAGCTAAAATTGGCTGATGTCCGGTTAAAAACTAATGTATTCTGATATCGCATATCCGAAGCTGGTGACGGAGTTTTAACCATCTTCCAACCTGGACTAGGTCGCTTTACTTCCATGAAAACAACTCTCCGGTTGAAACCTGTGGATAGGCCTGCTTTTCGTCCAACACGAGTCGTGCCTGATGCAACATTAGCACCAGCTGATGAAAGAAATGGATCGCCTAAAACGACAAGTTGTTATTACGCCCGTTTCCAACTCTATTCGAGCAGCACCTGCAGTTGTTATTAAGAAAGCTAACGACACGATACGCATTTGTGCTGACTTCTTCACAGTTACCAACGCAGCTCTCAAACATCATCATTATCCTCTGCGTCTCAGCAGATCTGTTCACTATGCCATATGGGGGAACGTTTTTTGCAAAGCTCAATCTAGCTGATGTTCATTTGCAGAAGAAAGTCAATGAATGTTCTAAAGAGCTGCTTACTATCATTACATAACGCGGTTTGTTACTGTATGACCAACTGGTTTTTGGAATTAGGATTGCATGGATACTATACTATCAGATATCTTAGTGCGCGCAGACCGGATGCTGAGAACATTCGAGCTATCAGACTAATGAAAACTCCCACTAATGTCTCGGAATAACGATCTTTTCTAGGACTGATCAGTCATTATTCAGTGTTTGTTCACTCGATGCCCGATATTCGTGCCCGTTTCAATTCTCTGTTGCAGAAGAAAAGCACTTGAAATTAGACTAAAGAATGTGACGCGGCTTTTGATTAAATGAAGTTCATAACTTGCTCAAGTTTGTTATAAACACACAAGATTCATCTATGCTAGTCATCTGAGCAACAGACGCTTCAGCATAAAGACTAGGTGCTATTATCTCACATCAGTTTTCAGAAGCGTCATTAAAAGCCGTTATGCATGCTTCACGTACACTAACCCCAGAATAAAAGAAGTAAAGCCTGATGTAGAAAGAGGCTCTTGCTCTTGTGATTGCTGTTCGCCGTTTCCACAAGTTTCTGTATGGTCGGAGATTCACGCTCCTCACAGATTACAAGCCCCTGTTAGCAGTTTTAGGTTCTAAACCTGGCATTTCAGGCAATTCCGCAAATCGTCTTCGGCGATGAGACTTGGTTCGTTTAGGGTATGATTTCGAAATCCAATATCGACGCACTGTTCAATTCTGTCAGGTAGACGATTTATCACGACTCATTATTGATCAAGTGACGGCTGAGGAAAAGATGGTGATCGCATCTCTGTCTGTAAAAGGCCACGTAGAATGTTATCTGACAACGGCAATTCTTACATTATCGGTGCTTCTAGAAACGAACCCATCATCAATATGACGATGAAATACGTCACTCATAATTGGCCGTGAAGGTAGATTGATGATGATCTGA